TCAGTGTTGTGGATTTTTCAACGGAAGTATAACATTATTAGCGATTACGATTTTTACGATTCATTAGTATGTCCAATTCCAAAGATTGTAAGAACTTATTTGAACGAAGTTATGCATAACATTTAGCAATTTTTAACCCATGAAAAAAAAAACTTTTAAAAGCAGTTTACAGCGTCGGCGACGCCACATTCAACTACTAGTAGGGGAAACTTGGGCACCATGAGCCACAAACATTGAATCATTAGGGAATTCCTTACATTGCAGATGATTTATTGCATTTTATTTGTACAAGTAAAGACATAAGTATATTTTTAACATTGTGTGGTAATAGGCACAAAATAATTAATGGTGGAGAAAACGTGAAAAAAATAACTATTTTCAATGAATGACCTATTGTACCCCATGCATGAGATACCAAGAGTCAGTGTCTGGGGTACAACGTAAGTAATCCAGAAAAAACTACACCTTTTTCATTATTGCGGACATGTATACATTTTTTAAAATGAGGAATTTAACAAGCACTAGCAGCATTAGCTCACGGAAATGCACTCGAGGAAAAATTAAGATATGGATAAAATAATTGCTATCAGCGCAGAAAATGTAGCTGGTTGTTACACGAGATCCTTTCTCAGCACTTTCCACATGAGGCAGAGCTTTGCAATCTTTCTGAGTTATTACGTTTCCGCTCGCACTGTTGATGTTTTTTGTTTCATCTAGTAAGTTGAAGACGTACGAAGAATCACGAAGTTCCTCTTTAACTATTGATAACACTAGGAAACCAGATGACTACCTCCAGGAAGGTAGAGTGCGCAACGTAATCAATTTTATACGTAAATTACGAATATTACAATAAAAACGTCACATCATGTCACAATTTTTAAATTTACTGTATCTTTATACCGTATTATATCGTATTTTGCTATTAATGCAAAACGCACCTGTTACATATATATATATATATATATATATATATATATATATATATATATATATATAATGTGTGTGTGTGTGTGTGTGTATGCGTGTGCGTGTGTACGCAAAAAAATGTACTTAAAAATAACATGTTTATTTAGTGTATCTATGCCATTTCCATGAGATATCAATAAAATTAGGCTTTCGTGTTTTTTTTATCCTTCTGTATTCGAAGATTGCGTCTAGTAGTCACGCTCAATTACGAGTAGGTCTTAGTGGTCTTAGCCTTACGGGAGGTTTTGAAAACAAATCGCGTGCACTCTCAAATTTCCTACTGCGTATCAATCAGGGAAAGAAATTATTTTAGCTTCTTATCGTATCACAAGTATTTATTTATTCAGCCTACAAATATCCCCTAGTGGGGCAAAGGCCTCGTGCCTGAGCAGGGGTGATAAAGCCGCAACGACTTCGGAGACACAGCTGGGTTGGGGCGCTGACTGTCTTCCGTTGATCCGCTAGCTTCTCCATATCGTTATATCTTTTTTCGTTCTGGTCCAGGCAGTCCTTTAAGAGAGCTATTCATGCATTTCTTGTGACAAAGAAAGAAGATATTTGTAAAACATTGGTAACAATTGCTATAAAGCTACAACAATATGTGTAGAATATCTCTAAAAAATAATTTTCTTCACACCCAGTGTAATTGTTTCCTCAGAATTTGGGTGATATTAGTGAGGAACGTTGTGAACAGTTTTATTAGTATATTACTGCTATGGACAGGAGATATCAAGGGCGTAGGGATCCTCCACTGGTGGGAGATTGTTTTCTTGTTAGAAAGAGTAAACAGGAATACAAGAGTAAGTGACAAGAGACAGCAATTTTAAGAAATAAAATAGGAATTTCTCCTTCCAAGATGTTTCAATATTATTACACGAATATGTGTATTTCATTTTTCTTTTTTTCATGCCTCATTTGAAGCATGCTTATCAAATATTGTAGTATGCGGAAATTATAAGATTTTGTTTATACAAATATTAAACATGTTTATATCTTTTAAACCTTGCATGATAGAAATTTTTTTATGATTTTCAAAATCAGTGAGGTTTTTTTAAAATCATCTACTTTCATCCTGGAGGTATGAATGGTTTTTGTTCCCTTGTTTAATATTTGAAAAAAGCCTACACGTTTTGTTGGTTAAATGTCGTGTCACGAACAAGACTACACTCCTCTGGGGACCTTAGTGATCTGCTTACCAGTCATCTCCGGCAATTTCATTTCTAACCATAAATCTGGACATTTCACATTATTTCCAAAACTGTTTGATAGGCACATTTGCGGCATTTTTAGGACATACTGTAAAACATTTTGCAGCCCTTACCACTTCCTCTTGGGAAAAGTAAACAATTGCTTATGACTGTAGTCTGATTTGAGTTCAACTTCACCAGAAAGTGATTTTATATTTTTTCCTTACGTCTTAATGTTTAGATACATCTTGACAACACATTCATCAGCTGCACTTCTTATGCTTCAACATTCTGCAACCAAATTAATTCCTCTCTTCACATGTTTCCGCGTGTATATCTTTGGTAATTTTTCTTGCTTTCATGCATTGCAGCTTGTGACCCATGGTGTCTGTCATCACCTGACGCATTTTGCCCCGATAGTTCATTTTCAAAGAGGTCAAATATGATCTATAAAAATAGTTCACGTAACTTACCTCCAGTGCAGAAAATGATAAAAACTTCAGGAAACTGCAATATCCAATTTCAATACCTGTATTAAAATGACGAAAAATAATAAAAAAATACACATTGTCAGTAATTTACTTCGAAAGGGAAAAAATAATTAATACTTCACGCTACCTTTGAAATAATCTCGGGTCTTTGCCACCTGGATAGTAAGCATGGCTATAATGAAACGTTTAATCGTAATAAATTTAGCCAATCTAACCATCCTAGATCTCAGCAAACATTCAGTGACTCATCGAACCCCATGGCCCATGGCGTCCCGGTCTCTCCTATTCGCGATTAGTTCCAATATGCGATGCGACAGTCACGTTGATTCATGTGTTTTGTTTACTTTGCAGTACTCAGATGTTTTGTGGCCATGACTTCCTTGCAGTGAGAGTCTGACAAAGTATTTTGCGGCCGGCAAAATTGGCCAAAAAGTAAAATGTTCTGGCCAAATTTGTACTACCAAGCAAATGTCTAATGTTGGTGATGAAATTAAAATTATCACATTTGGTTGCCCATCGTTTAACCGTCTGCACTCGCGAGTTAGATCTTTATTACATTTCTGCTGCCTGAGAAGACATAAAAACGTGTTTAGCACTGAAAACTAAAACTGTGAAGTTAGCACCAAAAATAAAAAAGCGTCCCCAGGCTGTGTGTGTTTGACTCATTTGGTACGACCTCTGTGCTTTCGGAACTCCCAAACAAACGTGAACTATCCTCGCCTTTATTTTTTAAATCTTCAGAATATCTCGTCCATCTCTTTTTACAACATGCAGTTAAATTGCTGAAAGAAGAACAACGAGCTGTGCCGACAACATTTCACAACAAATATTCGCTCTCGTGTAAAAGAAACAATTTTGAAAAACAAATCAGCAACGTATTTTTAATGCTGTTCGCTAAACCTTCTGCCAAATGAGCAGGGTCTTTAGAACGAAAACATTGTTATGTGAAAGACGTCATATTACCAAGATTTTAGCCAGTCCAATTCACGAAAGTAACGAGCCTCAATTACTTTCGAATAACTTTCATACCAACAAAGCGAAATACAGTATATTTTTACATTGCTGTTAGCCATATCGAAACATTGTACTCTTATTGGATCAATGTAGTGAATTGTCCCTTTATTGCAGATTTATATAATTTTTCCAACGAAGTTGAAACAAGGCCAGTTCTTAGGACTTTCAGAACAGTAAAGCTAGTCGCATAATGAGACGCAGGTCCCTGAAGTGGGAGCGCAGGGCGACGTGTCGCAGTTCCTGCGCGTCCTGCGGAGTGCAGCGTCTTAGGCTACTCGCAAATGAGACGCAGGTCCGTGACGTGACGTGGCGTGGGGTGACTCATCGTTAGTTTCTGATAACTACTGCTTTAGGGCGTAAAGCAGAGTTATTTCTACGGCAGTGGAAATACGTGGGTGTGTTCCTCAGGCGCACCGATTTTTGCTCGTTCTGCGCAACACCAGTTTGCGTCACGAATCACGTGACCACAGCAGGGGCACTTCGTTTGAAAAGCCTGACCAGATGCTGGACGACGTGTTGTATAGAGAGCGAGAAGTGTTGAGAAACATTTTGAAAGTGATACAAAGTGCGAAGTTTTCAACCGAAAATAATACGATAAGTGTAAGAGATGCAATATTTCAAAGAATTGCTTCCTAAATCTGTTTCAATGTCTTGTAAAGAGGTAATAATTTTGGTATCTTGCAGTATTTAAAATAAGCTCAATGGCTGAAGTCGGATACGATGCGCAAGAGCCCCCACCTCCTGGTTTCTACCGCTGAATTAGACAATTCTATTCTTGACCGGGACATTTCGATGTGTAGTAGCTGTACTTTGAGCTGAAAGACGTGTGCAGCTTTCTTTCTTTCGTGCGTTATTCAGGGTAGGAGGGTATGGCAAAACAAAAAATATGCTATTATTTATTTACTTTAGTATCAGTTGCAAAGAAAGAAAAAAACTATTTTCGTATCTGTTTTCAGCACAATGACATTTTAAAAACTAAATTAATTCACTGTGCAAAACAATTATCAGGGTGCTGAACTGATCTCTTAGCCGTAAAGAGAAATTATTACTGCAGAACTTCTAACGATAACATTTTATAATCATGATAACATCTTACAGATGTAACACTTTCATCACGGCCCCCTCCAGAAGTAATTAAAATAATTCGATCCGTTGAATATTAAGTGGAATTATTAAAGGTTCGTTACGTTGTTATTATTATTATTATTATTATTATTATTATTATTATTATTATTATTATTATTGGGTGCAGCACCCTCTACGTTACGCCTATGAAGATCATTAGCTTGGAGATTATCACTTCGAAAAATGTCTGTCCGGAAGTTGGTTACAGTCTACACAATTGATTTTGTCACGCTACGTCACTGAAAATAATATATGCATTATTAATTATGTTTATTGAAAAATCAATTGTTTCATATAAAATTAACTTAACATCAATCTACTACATAAACATTCACAATATATTCATTAATGTACAAAATTGTGGAGTCTGTTTTGTCGTATGTAGATGCCACGACAATAACTCTGAAAATAAACATGTGAATTTTGCAGTTAAATATATTGTATAATTTTTTACACAATTTAATTAATAATTTTGTGTCTTTACGTACCTGTATGGTACAGGACCTCGTGGTGGTAAATTTGCGACTGCATATAATTTTGCAAAGCCATCCTCCAACTTAACTTTAAATGGCTTCCCTGTAAAGAAGAATTTTTCTGTGATACGTTGGGTTTCGCAATCAATGGTGATCGGAAGAACTAGGTCTGCAAGTGGTCCTAGAATTATGTATGAGAGACTGTTAGGTACTCATCCCAACTAATTTCTGGACGTGCTTCTCGAAGGAACTCTGATTGTTATAGTGAATGAAGCATTAGATTACTACACACTTGAGGCGTATGGCACATACAATATTTATTAAAGCAAATGTGTTAGCTGATCAGAAAAGTTGAAAAATAAAATTTTCAAACCTACCCTTCCTTTACACCCACGCTTAGCATTCAGATAAAAATTCTGATGAATAATTCAAGAGAGAAGTTCTATACACATTCTTGATATTTTGAGGGGGGCAGTCATATGTCAAGCGAATTCGTCTTCCACCCCCCTAAGATTCGATTCTAGGCTGGTCCGTAAAATTTGTGATGGGCAAAGCGAGCTCTCGAAAGGACTTCTCGAGGATTTTCAGTTTGCACCTTCTCCTTTCACCTACTCTGCTGTTACATTGATCCACATTTTATTTTAATTTGGCGCGTATCTTCTAATAAATAATTATAATTTCTCCTTGGCGCACACATTCGGGCTAAGCTCGTGCTTTTTTAAGTATTCCGCCACTGAGATTATTATGGCTTATTTTTCTCTCCAAAATCCCGTTAACCTCATTTCCGAGTGTAAAAACAAATCAAGACCGTACTTCGCAGTGTTGCTAAGAGGACGCAGCAGTGTCCAGGCAAACGCAATAAAAGATTTCAACAAAAAGAAATTCAAAAGAAGACGCCGTTCGTCGCATAGTTGAATCGTGAGCCGTGACTCACTGCTCAACTTGTAGAGCTACAAAATGACAGACTTTCTGATATTAGTCAATTTTCTGACTTCATTGGTCTGAATTAGTGCATTGGTGAATTAATGCAGTGTTGTTTAGTCCATTTTAACACTACCGTTCAAAAAAATTAAAGAAAAAAATGGAAGCAATTTTTAAGAAAATTTTTAAATTGTACTAGGGGCTTCAATTAAATTACCCCCAAAATTAAAGAATGCTTTTCCAAATCGCCGAGCTTCGACTCAAGCCATAACGACCAGGGAATATTCATACACATAATACAGGCGCTAGTGTTGTTCCCACTACCGATGCCGTCGGACAGATAGACGGTTAGACGGAAGGACATTTAAAGAAAACAACCCTTTTTCGGAATCAGAGAATCCCAATACGTATTGGTCAGTTGGAATCTCGAAATCGATTTTCGGCAGCCTAACACACCTTGCTCTATATTTCGTATATTACACCGTATATATGAAGACCTCAGGCAATAACATGTTTCGCCACTATACGTACGTTTTGAGAAAAAGAAAACAAAAGATTTAGAGATTGATTTCTACACATTAGGATAAAAAACATTAATTTATTAATTACAATATCATCTTGCACAAATCTTTAAGATAAAAACCGGGGCGTCGAAATGCATTAATATCTAATTTCGTCAGAAATGTGGCATAGCATTTTCTTGCCCTAAAGCCTGCATATGTACTGATATGAAAAAGTAAAATTATGAATTAATCGCTCGGACGGCAGTTCTTCAATATTCTTTTTTTATCGCGCCCAGTTGAATATTGAGATCGTAAATCTCGTGAATTTTTAATTCTCCCGCGTCAGATGTTACGAACGGCCGCCGCCTCCGCATTTCACATGCGATCCTTCGTGAGTCCCATTGGCTGGAGAACCTAGTAAATCCTGTTGCTGCCAGATAGCTCTTTTGTCTACGTTGAAGTTTGTAACGGTGAACATGTGCGTCGGGGAATTGGGGGAAGAGGGCTTCCAGAATATTACAGCATCCGTGGCGGCAGGCATTGAAAGTGGCTTGTTGTGGACCACATGCACAACGTCTTCGTTATTCATTGTCTGTGAGAAGTAATCATTTCGTAAAATCGTACTAAATGAGCATATGACAGCATTACTGACAATGTCTTCTCTGTGGTGAAATGGGCAGCGAATGTACTCGTGTTGCAGGAAGTCAGCGTTCTTTTACCCGTCAATGATTTAATTTAAGTCGGCTTCCTTTCATTGCCACGGTACAAGATACAACTACGTTATTACATACTACTTTATTACATTAAATTAGTACAATACATTAATAGAACGTGAAGAGGAACGCATTCAGTTTGGCTGATAATCTTATCATTTTTATTTGCTGCCTTCACTACCTAAAGACAAACTATTGAAATCGTCCGATTGTACACGGCGATTTTTCGACAGAAAACGCATATTACCTTGTACTATCGGATCCCGGTGATTAGAAAGATGATAAATCTTGTTTCTGTATGTATAAATTACTTCCTGTAACACTTGTGTAGTCAGAATCCAGGGAGTGGGTCCTGAATACCGATAAATCTGTCGAAGGCCAAGAGTCTGTCTGTCTCCTGTCGCCGGTCAACGCTAGCGCCTAAACCATTCAATTTTCTCCAAAATTGTCCTCTCGATCTGAACGAATTCGAGGCACAGAAAAGGATATTTTGATTTTGGGGGATATTTTACATTGGACTTCAACATTTTCAAAATTTTCTTACAAATGGCACAATTTTTTATTCAACATTGTCCTCAGATAGCGCAGAGAACGCTTAAAAATGGCGTAACTGTAAATTTCATCGCTAAAATTGCAAAGTGCAGGATGTTTTCAGGGTTTTCCTAAACCGTAATAATTTTTTCCTTAATAAAATATCTGGTTCCATTTTGGGTGCACTCTCAGCATTTTCGAAAATTAGAAAAAAAATCAACATTGCAAAAGTACAGTATTGATAATAGATATTTTTCCTAAATAATATGTGAGCGAAAAAATAGATATTTAAAAAAAGACCATACATTTTTTTTGAAAAAAAAATGTATTTTTTTCATGTTTGCTTGAAATTGATGGATTTTAGAAAAAATTATCAAAAACCTGCTTCACATGTTTCTCTATTTTTTAAGGGTGAGACCAAATGACACTTAAAATGGCGCGGCTCTCATTTTAGTTGAAATCTCTGATTTTTTGATACTTGCAAAAGTTAGAAATAAAAGGATAAAGTATGTGCTGTTGCACCACTAGTTACTTTCTCGCCTCACTACATACGTAGTAAAGTGTTGTAATACTGCGGAGGATATCGGTGATATTTTAACAGAAAATCACTTATTGTGGAACGCTAGTAACAAACTATCAGCACATCCTTTATCCCTTTCTTTCTGACATTTGCAATTTTTAATAACTGAGAATTGAACGAATATAACTTTTGCGTTATTTTTAAGTGTGGATATTACTTGAAAAAAATTAAAAACACGTTGAAAGTATTTTTAAAATATAAATTGCATTACCTTTATACAGAAATTACTCGCAAGCTATAGTTTTTCGAAAATTTTACCCATCCAAAACTTGTACCCTCGATCGTCCTCTCGCTTCATCTCCTTCTTCCTCTCCCCTTCTCTTCGTCTCCTTCTCCCTCTCCCCATCTCTCTACCTGTCTCCATGGCCCTGTCTCAGTTTCTCTCTCTCTGTATCTGTCAATCTCTCCGCGTCTCTCTCTCTCTCTCTCTCTCCGCGTCTCTCTCTCTCTCTCTCTCTCTCTCTCTCTCTCTCTCTCTCTCTCTCTCTCTCTCTCTCTCTCGTAGAGTCAATGTATCTTTTTCTCTGCCTTTCTCTTTCTGTCTCCCTCTGCGACGTTGCCTCTCCTTCCTTTCGCGCGCCGCCAGTTCTGTCCAAAGCCTCGCCCTGCGACACACGGCTACGCCCAGCAACACTGAAGCTCACGTGGAGTTCAGTTGGAACGGAAATTTAATTAAAATGAAGCGCAATTTTGTGCTTTAGCGCCACTTAGTAGAATTACAACAAAATTAACAGCACAAAAACCTTCTTCGTGAAAAAAAACGTAATATGTGACATCTGTCATGGAGATTGGGCACACGGTACTTCAGCATCGCTGCTGGCCTCTGGCGAAATATACTAGGAACCTGACTGTAAGCTACAGGCGAAAAATAATTATCGTGGTGCATCTACCTGCATATTTTTTAAGTTAGTTTTTACGCGTGCGTTTTGTATTAATCTTTACCAAACTTTGTAACACTGCATCAGATCGTGGAGAAGCTACTGATGTTGATTATATGTCGTTGAATTAACTTTTATTAGTATAGATTTCTTCTTACCTGCTTCGTTTTCTTTTATTCTATAGTATGTAGTATTTGATCGATCAGTGGTTAGATAGTAAAGCTTTCTGCTGAACGCAATCGGTCCTTCAATTTTTACGTGTATTTGTTCTTGACTTTCTGAATATTTGGCTCCAGATTCGCATATTTGTTTACTGCAATCTTTTACACATCTCCTGAAACATAAGATATTTGGGTTGAAATAATTTTAGAGTGTAACCTAAGATTACTCACACTCTGCCAATCCCAATTGTAATATTACACAGGAATATTTTTAATTAACAAAAACGGAATACCTGCCCACTTACTTTTTCACTTTTCGATACCCAACCGGACAAATTGTTCGCAGACATGTGTATTTGATACTCAGTCTAATACATGTCTCATCTTCCTTGCAGAGTGTTCCATCTTTGCAAAGATCTTCCTCTGTGAATTTCACATAAATAAGTAATAAAATATCTAAATGCGATTAGAAATGTGTATTTATTATTTTATATAATACCTTTACATATTCCATCCTTTTCAACATAATTCGGAGGGCATGCATGGTAAACACCTGTAATCAAATACATGATTCAAATGTAATTATTAAATGTATTTTCTGAACTTAATTGCTAACCCAAATTTTGAATATACACTTTTGTGGTTAGGAGTTAAAATGTTTGCAATTTTTTCTTCATTCTTTCAACCCATGTATTTTATATATAATTCGTACGCTAAGAAAACGGCACTGTTTCGGCTCTGGACTATTTATAAGATTCCATCACCGCAGAACCCGTAAAGGTGCTAATGTTCGATGGAGAATTACCACCCAAACATTGATATTGAAGACGGAAAAAATATAATTTTGAAGATTATTAATATACGAATAATGTATATAGATATAATCGTATGAACCAAGGCTTACGATACGATGAGATTTTAGGGAACTTGCTTCCATTCTTTCATGTGTACTGCCCACTTTCAGTATGGCTTGCGTTTTTTCGGGCCTTGGTTCCCGACCAAGACACATTTGCTACCGTGGTTCTCTCGTTTGAGAGTGAATGTAGTTCCATTCTTTAATTTGTACTGCCGCCCCTCAGTACGGCTTGCTTTTTCGGCCCGAGCAAGATGCATTTGCCTTGGTTCATATACATGTATAATGAAAAAAGCTGTTGCACATGCAATCCGTACATACTTTACGCTGCAAAGTATGCTAGATCCTACATAACTTGCAAACAAAACGTATTATGATCTTAAATCTACGTTTTAATGTTTCTTACGCTATAATCTAAAATATGGGACTCTCTTAGACTTTTTATTACACTACGGAAGTTAGCTCTTCCAGATATTCCCCTCCGTAACGTTGGACGATCAGAAAATTGTAGTATCTCGAACCGAAAATCAACTGAATATTTGAAAATCTATGCGGGTTGAAGTATTTATGATTGTTAATAAACGCTTGGCAATACTGGAATCATGCCCTTTCAACTTACGTAAGGACATGGCCCCCTGCAAATGTTAATATTAAATTGTTTATGCCCGCGCTGCATTTGTTTTTTTTTAGAAATATTTTTGATCAAGAATGTCTTTAAAATCCCCGACGAAAATTGGCTTAAGTAAAAAAGTACTGAATCACATCAAACCATAATAAGTATAACATTCTCAGAGAATCACAGTATTGTGCAATACAAATCACATAATAAAGAAATTATAAAACACGTATGGTTTCTTCTTTAACGCGCATTTTAGATGCTAAATTTTGAAGTTAATCCACGCTCATCTTCGACGTGTGACGTGTGACACCAGTAGGCGGTACCTTCCGTGGTTTGCTAACCTGTACCGAAGTTTCAAAATGAATAGTCCCAATAATGTACTGGCTCGACCAACAATAAATATTGGGTAAACATGCGGTTAAAGCATGCCACTTGTCACGCTAAATTTCCCCATTCTAACTTCCGTAAAATAATAAGTCAAACATACTCCTTAGAACAGCAGAGGGCTTTAAAAGTGAGTTAGCGAATGCCATAAAAAGCAAAATATAGAAATCCTAACCTCCAGGTCCATAAGCAAGTAATACAATTCCTACATGGCAAATTAACGCCTCTAATTATTTTATGTGGAATGCCGCCAACGACAAATCACTAATAAACCAATATGTAATACGAAACGACAAAAGGAAAAAATAAAACAAAATACGGAATGTTCTTATGGGACCACCGAGTATCTTAAACTATTTTTCGTTTAGTTAACTAAATGTATGTACGTATGTACTTGGCGCGACTGCCCGTGAACGGGCTCAGGCCTATCGGCGACGTCCCTACCTCGCGGCCGTGGGTTAAGGTGGTTAGAGCGAGATATTCCCTAGTAGATAGAGAGTCCATATTACGTTGAAAAATAATTATTTGCGAGATAAGTGGGTATTGTGGGATATACATAAACCAAATGGGACTTGTATGTTGAGTTTCATTTAATTATTTTAATTTATTTAGTTTAATAGATGTAAAATAAAAACATTATAATACCACATAAAGAGCTACAGTTGACTAGTTTCTTAACTAGTACCAACAGATCGCGTAGCCATGAAATAAAAAATTGAAGCATAAGATTGAATATAAAAAAGCACTATTACACAATTAGTAAGAGCAAAACCATAAAACGTAACATCACAGACACATACTTATATATATTTTTTTGCAGTAATTCCTAATAATGCCAAAAATTTCAATGTTTGAGTGAGGCGAAAAGTATTTAATAAATTGGGCAACGCCGTAATGTTCTTGAGATTGGCATGACTGCACATGCTTCTTCAAAGTTTCATTGTTTTGAATCACTTTGAATACTGTTCGTTGTCTGGTCGACACGATATCACAATAATATCACAATCTGAGCGGAATGGCGGAAGGTTTACTTCCAAAGCGGAATTTGAGAGATAACGAAATAATTCCACCAATATCACGAAAACAGTGAGGTAATAAAAAGTTGTCAAATATTTTTTCAATGTTTGTTTCTCTCTAATTTTTATTTCTTTAATTATCTGAACCAATTGTGGGGCAAACCTTAGATTATTCGATTGCTTAACAAGATCAAAAGTTTGGTTCTCTCCAACATTGTATAAAGCTTTATATTTAACTTGACAGACATCGTAATCATTGACTTATACTGCTCCTACTATCCTCATTATCACAATATATCAATATATTTTGTTTTTTTTTCTGTTATTCCCCTACTTTATTTTTGCTTAGTTAATTAAACTTATGATCAATTTTTAATGTTTTAATAATATTGATTGAAATTTTAGGACTTTTAGCAATTGCAATGTGCCGCATTATTTCCAGCGGTGCGGTTATATAATTCATAGAAACTATTTGCTGGTTTTCAGCATAATTTAATATCATGTTAAAATATTGACTTAGATACAAATTATTGTGTAAAGTACACATCAAGTTAAAGCTGATAGATTGAAAATACTACATCAGATTATTCTGAGAGCTGTGTTATTGAGACCTTCAATAATAAAATTATACCATTGTTGGAGATAAAATCTTCAAAAGAGATTTCTAAGTGGCATAGTCTTTTGCAATCGTTTGTCTTGATGTTGCACTCTAAATGAAAAAAAGGTTTAAATCTTTTGAAAATAAGATGAAAACTATTCAAAATGCATTATTATTGTTCAGGAAATGCAAACAATTAGATAAAATATAGTGCTGAAGAGTAAAGGAGTTTCTATTAAAATACCAAAACTACCAAAGACTAGATATATCATTCCTCTTACAATTTCAATACAATGTAATCATTAATTTTAAATGTAATTATTAAATCTGCCCAAGCGGATTTAAATACTGTAGACCTTCAAGCACAAAACTATACTGGGCACATTCATTCAAAACAATCTTTAAAACTATTTATGAATAAATCTAAAACACAGTAATAATAATAGAATAAATCATTGTTCCAATACAGATGAAAATAACAAATTGCTTTCAAAGTAGAAATTGCTTTTAAATTTATCATTTACAGATACATGTTGGGTTTCTTATTGTTTCATTCAATTTATTTTAAAATCAAACATTTTTGTTCAGTAAACTATTTGGTTAATGCTTATTCACATAAAAACATTTTAAAAAGTTTTTAATATTTATTTTTTAAAAAATGGGCACGAGAATGAGAGTCCCAAGCCTAATTTTGCTAGAAGGAAATCCAGCTTTGCATTCACCTGTACATTGAATGGTTACCATAACATTTCATAAAATGTTTTTATTTAACCCCAGCGTTTTATTATCACCAGCAAAACAGTATTTTATCATTGCAACTCATTTGAAGTCACTGCAATGTCTATTTCTTTCTGAATTAAATGCCCACTCAGTAGCAATACCGATTGAGGTGCTGATCTATGCTAAATATTGTAGCTTTGAGTTCTGTGAAAGCATCTGTGGTGCAAAAGACAATGACAATCCACTGTGTATCTCCATAATAAAAAAGAGATTATCAATAATTTTCGAATAATTTAATAAATAATCATTGTTCAGGAGCAAGAAACTGACGATCGGAACAATACAAAACAATAATACTGTACTGAATGTTTAAAAACTTCTATAAACTCTCAAGATCACCCATTTTCCCAGGGAGTAGTATCAAAGTGAGTCATTGGGAATATTAATTGAATTAAAATTTCATTCAGATCGCACTAAACGTTATATCCATAAAATTCCAATTTTCTGAATATCTGTTTACCATCAAACGCAATGTTCTCCAGGAGTGATGATATCATAATTGATCCCAGAAGATCCAGAAGAATGTACGAACTCTTGCAAGGTCTTGTCACTCGATTTGAATAAAGCGCGTTGAGCGCGCGGTGTTGCCGAGATACGGGTCACTGTCCCGACCCTCTAGAAAGCGCGCGAACGTCTCCCTTTGGACTGATTTAGCTTATAATTTTGCAAAATTCTCGCATTTAAAACGGTAGATTTCCTTCAAATTGCGCATGTTGATTTTTCGAGATGCTAGCTACTAAAAGAGGAGTTTTTAAAAGCATGTTCAACAGTTAATTTTCTCACAATTTTAAAATTTCAGGTCAGATTTCTCAGGTCTCCATAAGAGCCCATGTTAAAACAGCAAACTTTACGATCTCGTTACGCAAAAACTGGACGATGAAATCGATTCAAGCTCTACCAGAACATAGATGAACCTCTCATCTTTCGATTAATATAATAAAAAAGGCATGTTAAACATAACACTTATCCCGCTTTAACCACCTTAAGGGGGTACGTGTGGTTAGCACGTAGATACCCCCACACCGTATTTCGGTATTCTCAATTTGAGCAATGTATTTTCTCATCGTCACACAGCAACATACACTGGGACAATGCAAGGAAAACGCACACTATAGCCTTGGCTGGACCGGGAATCGAACCCGGGGCAGCGTAGTGGAAATTAGTTAACTAAAAAGGCTCATTAATTCCATGAAAAATCGTTGATTATTACTATGTTTATGGCATGCTTGCAATTATAAATTCACAACGCAATTAAAAGTCCACAGCAGCCAATCAGAATTCAGACAACTGATCTAAATCTTTTAATTATGTACGTATAACACAGACGTAGCCAAGGTATATCCAGACGGGCATGAAGTATAGATTACATACATCAAAAATATATAATCAATGCACGAATGAAACAAAATTATAAACGAATAATTATTACTACTTCTTAGAAAATCATGTTAATATTTGTAGTACAATAAGTTAAATTAAACTATTATTATACTCATCCTCCTCATCATTCTAACCTGAAGTCGCGGAAGTATGTTGTTAAGATATACTTAAGTATTAAGTATATTTACTTCATCTATTTGAACGAGAAGGATCAGAGAGAACAACAAAACTCGTTTATTTTTTACAAAATCAAGTAAATTGTTGATAATTCAACATATCTATATTCTCTTTTACGTCTTGAACATAAACAAGTATGATCTTAAGCATGTTGGTTTGACTCTAGCTGACTAATGGACATCATAAAATATTTAAAATGAATAAATGTATTTCGTGTAAAATTTGTTGCGTGTAATTTGGTCTTGGAATATTACAAATATAAAAATGTAATCGTCAGTTGTATTTAGCCGTTCTGAAAAGTACACCAGCAAAACGTCTGAGTCAGAACTGAATAGTCTTTCTCCTTTCTACTTAAACACACGTTCTTTCATACATCCCCTTACTTTTCGTACGAAGTAATGCTTTCATGCATTTTTTGTCAACTTCTTCAAACATTTCAACCGGAATACGTTTAAAAATTTTCATTTTCAAACGTTTCTTACGTATTTTATACATTATTCTCTTTAGACACTTAAGTGATCATAAATGTACACTGCAAGGCCTATTAAAATAGGTCTTGTTAACAACCAACATGACATCATCAAATACATTCATTAAATGGTAAAGATATGATTTAATTTCTCAAGATTAAAATTATTCTTTAATGGAAACGAAAAAATATTGAATGTAACACGTGGATAAAGGGGTATAATGAGAAAGCTCGCTCCTATCGTCGTCTGTTTTCTTGAACAAATCATTCACCAATTATACCTCTCTTTATACACACTTTTCCATAATTAAAATTATTGAACACTTTTTTGACTTAATATTGGTTTTACAGAAATGTCTTTATATTGATGACGACCTTACCTGGTAGCTTCGAACACACAGTTTTTGAGTCAAAATTGGCCATACCGGGAGGACAAAAGCACTTGAAGCTTCCAAATACATTCTCACAATAGTCAGAGCAAATGGTACGGTCTATGCATTCATTCACATCTGTAATTAACAATTACATTTAATATCAATGACAAAAGAACTGGTTATTGAAAATACGGTGGAAAATAGGAATTTGTGGTATGAATAGATAACATAGCAATTTAGTTTAGCTTAGCAATAGAGTGTTCGAGGCAACATTCAAAATAAAAATACATTTGATACAAATAGTAAAAATTAAGATCATATGCATTAAACAATTTTACAGAATGGAAATATTACATTAATTTAGGGTGAAGGCCTAGCTAAATCAGTATTCTATTTACAAATCTAAAAGCCATCAATTCCAATCCCTAACTTTATAAATTCACTATGAGAACACAATTGTAATTTTATATAATTTTCAAGCATGAGAAAAATATTAATTGAAGTTCCTGTTTGTGAATTGTCTTTAACGTAAATGTATTTGGTGAACGAATTTGGCATTTTGGCTTGATCGTCTGACTTTGCCGGCTAGTTATGTCCCCCCATGTGTGTGCCTAGTTTAATTCCCAAGCTTAGGGTATTCGAGTGACATGTGGCGAACATGTCATATTCCCTTCACAGTGGCTAAGAAACTCAGCCTGCCGGAGCTTATCTTCGCCACACCTATAGAAACTAAGCCGATTTTAAAGGAATGCTACAACTCCCTTTCTGCATCGAAGCGTTAATGATTTAACACCATCTAATGTTTCACTTTCGACTTCACTCTGTGCATATCCCCCAAATATTCATAAATCAAAGACATACTCAACATTTACTTTTTATTTTTATGTCTTTAACTCTGATAAATTAATGTATTTAAAACAGAATGGAATCTTACTGGTGTTACAGTATGGCACAGAATTTCTCGCACTAGTTAGTTTTCTAATTTCTTTAGTCTGGGCTGGCTCCTTCCTACAGCTGCTAACTACTGCTGCCTAAAGGACATTTTTTCACATTTTCTCTATTTTTCGGTCTCTTAATGCAATATGAATTTAAGCATTCGTATTATAGAAGATTAAAACCTTGCCCTAAATGCACATTTTCGTTGAGAAATCCGGCGGTTTGTTTTTTAATGTGGTTTCAGCGTATCCGAAAATGCGCAATTTTGACCTTTTTAAAGAAATGTTTTGAGAAAACTTCAATGGAAATATTTCGAAGCAAATGCAATTATGCACGCAAAACATCAGTAATATGAAACATGTAGCGAGAATGATGTGAGAGATATTTAAACAATCACATTTATGTAATTTTGAAGAAAAGCAGAAAATAATTCAAACTGTCAATTCAATGTGTAAGTGCATGTTCTATTTAATGACATGTTAGATCATTTAGTACTATCCGAACAAAAAATGTAAAGAAACACATTAGTGCCGTTTTTGAAAAAAAGATTTTTTAATATTGCCCTAAAATTTATGGTAAAAGGAGTAATATTTTTCGAAAGTCTGTGGAATATTCATTAAAAAATACTACGAATAGTTTAGGCGCTGGTGTTCTTCACAGATAAATTGTCGAACGTTTGATAAAAAAATATCCGCAGCATTACATAACTTTTTTCTCCGAGTTATTATATAACTCCGTATATACGTATGTATACGAGACAGTAAAAATAACGCATTGCTAATCAATACTCTTATGCATTTGTAAACTGTCTCAGAATGCTGTTAGGAAGGACGACGAGTGCTTTGCATTTGCTCTGAAAATTTCCAAGTGCGATTAATATTTGAAACTAAGAAAATTTCACGAATTCAATTTCAAAAATAGAGGAATTAGAAAAAATAGGATAATTAAGACCAGAGAGATAAAGTGAAAGACGAGGACATGAGTCGAAGGTGTAAGAGAGTGAGGAAAATAAGGAGAAAAAAATGCGAGCAAAGAAAAGGAGAGCGCGAAACGACGAGGACAAGAAAAGAAAATGTAGAGGAGAAGTATGCAGTAGAGACAAGGGAGGAAAAGGAGAAGAATTTTGTGGAGGTGAAGAAGAGGAAGAAAGAAGCAAACCGGAAGCATAAAAAAATGTACGTGGAGATCATTTCACTCTGCGGCTTAAAAATTTGTCAAGTTCTTCAGGGTTTGTTTTTCAATAAAGCAGCATCAGTTATATCTCTTTAGAGAATGTGAAAATTTAAAAGTGATAATTTTATATGGCTATATGTTTCTCTGATTGTCAGCTTGGTTCGCATAATTCGTCAGTTAAAATTGTACGGTTGGAATTAAAATATATTTTGAACGCACTAATAATGTACCACTCACCTGTGCACTCTCCTGTGACGGATGGTTCAAACCCTGAAGGACATTTGCATTCGTACGACCCAATTAGATTTATACACGTCTGGGTGAAATGGCACACCCTTATTTTCTTATCCGCACATTCATTTATATCTGTGAATAATTAAAATAATTGTAAACGGAATACTTTATATCCTTTAGCGTAGCATCATTTATTTCATCTAAATTAATCCAATGTGTACACCCTAAATCCACTTGCCCACCTTCGTCCACTCTCTCCTCACGCCTCTACCAGCACCCCCGAGTCTTACGACCCTTTGCCCGAACACCCCCTCCCCTCTACCACGCCCCCACTTGCTGCCGACCGACGCTCTGTATTCTTAAACAAGACATACTCTCCAAAAACCTCTGAACTTTGTTTTCGGCCCGGACACTGCAAGTTATGTACGACCCAGTTTGCTTACGTATCTGGCATACATGTCAACATTTGGTATATAACATTTTGTTATTAATTTGTATAATTTATATTTCATGTATTCATGTAATTTTATTTTTAGCTCTGAGGATGATCGATCGCGATCGAAAATACCTTTAGCATAATATATTTTGATACCGGGCAACATCTTTTATTTACGTAATTAATTATTAGAAGATATCTACCTCACCAGCGATTCAATTAATTAATTATGTCTTCAGTCAGTGTGAGTATTTCGTGATTTTTCTGTGGAAAATGCATCGTTCACAAATTGTTCCTAAAGATGGGAGTAAATTAATTGGCCTGTAATAACTATTAAAAAGCAAGTAAATCGTTTACCTTGACAATACCCTTCTTTTGATTCTTTGTATCCGGGAGGGCACTTTTTGTCGAATGTTGTACTTATGAATCCTTCTTCTTCATGTACCAACTTATCAGTTTTAATATTTTTCCTACTTAGAATTTGGACAAGACCTCTGAAATAAACAACTGTAATTTCATTTTAAATATTCATCAATGTGTTGTTTCAGCGAAGAATATGTTTGTCAATTTAGTTAGCATTTTCAAAACAATAATAACAATATTTTTGGAAAAGTGACTTAACATTATGTCACTTGAAGACAATTGATAATATTTTAAAACACTGTAAAGCTATCACATTCAGTTTGTTGACAATGCAAGCTGCAAAGAATAAATAAATTTACCTTACCTCACCTCCTTTTCTATAATTGTCTTGTTCATTGAAATTGATAAAACATTACAATTATTGCTTCGTATTTCCGAAAGTTCTATTAGGTAATCACTGCTTTGGTATCAGCCATTTAAATTTAAAAGTTATTTACTTACGGGTGTATTCTTGAATAAAATGTTATTGTTTTTCTTGAATAGTACAAAAAGGAAGTACCAAAAACTCTCAAAACATTTTTAGAATTTGCTTGTAATTCTCCTGGACCAGTGAGGACATACTTTTCTGCAAAGAGATTTCTCACAGTGCTTTATTCCATCAGACACTAATCTTATAATATTAAATTGCTATTTACCTTCATATGGATCCGATTTGCTCAATCTGTTAAGAGAGAATAGTGGTGCTTCACCTTGCAAGCTGACATCAACTGATAACGTCTTCTTTTTCACACCATTGCCTTTATGATGTATTATCAATTCTCCTCCTTTGTGAACATTAATATAGTATGAATATAAAATAGCAGTCATAATATTAATAATTTATTATGTATGAAAGTAATAATTTATACTCTGACTTTGGGAAGGGGAGGCGTTACAATCCAGAAAGGAATACAACATTCGCTCTCGAGATCACTGAGAAGAGGGCAATAACCCTCTTCTCTAACCAATATCAAGATAAGGATTCTATAATAAGAGCAATTGCAAAACTTTTATGTACAAATTTCGCCATATTTGCTGAGATGAGCATGTTCAATTATCTTGTTTACAAAATTATTACATTGCGATAACTAGGCAGCTTATTTCTATGATTTTGCATATTGATTTTGCGAATGCGTACGCGTCGTATTGCATGATTTTGCATTGCATGATTTTATATATGCATATTTTGCTAATTGAAATTTCTTGAAATTTTGTTAGAATGTGATGCTATGGAGATTAATATGTTAGTGCATAGTTGTCCATATTTGGACGATTGCTCCTGTTGGTGCTTATTCGTGTAACTATAGGCGTATATTTTGCATATTTCGTTAGAATAAAGACTTATCTATTAAAAACTTCATATTTTCATGTAATCTATTTATTTATGAGCTTTCATTGATTCGAAAGAGCCTGTCCCAGTGGTGCACTATAGCACGGCTGTCCTATTCACAAATGAAACTAGGAAATTTATGTACCCAGACTGTTGTCCAAGAAGCGTGCACAAAATCTTCAGTCTTCACTTACCACCCAGTCGTGGTTGTCGTTTTGTATATTAGTAAGGATCAGTCCAAGATTTTCGAAAGTTTCTTTGAGATGAACTGAATGCCCCACAGTTATTGAAGCATTCTCATTACAACAATTAAAGTCAATTTGTGAAAGAACTGCGCGTGATGAAGTATTTCTAAATACATTTTCGATTTCAGCATACAAAATACATGAGGGACAGTTGAAATTTCCAAAAACGTTTTTTCATCGCAGGTCTGTGTTATTAGTGTAAATAATCAAATTAAATTTGCAATTTTAGAAAATTATGAGTTCAACAAAAATGTGCCCTGTGCATTTCATTTAGCGGTACTTTCTTTTATCGGTTGGGAAAAATTTGGAGCTGTTTCGGAAAATAAATGTATCTGAAAATTAAAAATTGGCTTTATTTTACACATAATTCCGCGAAAACTAGTGTTGACCCCAGACAGGTTTTGCCACCAACGAAATTTTCGGAACCACAAGGATTCACAAAACGTGGATTTTGTACGTGTTAGAGAAAGTACTTTATTACTCTCTTTACGAAGGTTAAATTTTAATTACTCAAAGACAGCCTTTCTAATATTTTTTTAATTCTTGGAAGGTCCATTGATTTTTTTAAGGCAGACGGTGTAACAAACGTTATTAAATAATTCGTTCAGAATAAAATTTGATATTTTCAATGAATCGAATTTCGATTGTTTTTTTAATGTGTAGTCGTGAAATCACTTTCTCTCTCATTATCTTGTTTTACCGTAAACCGTTAAATTTTAATATCATAAAATTAACAAAATGAATCCTTATCTCGTTATATCCATCGGACACAACCACATGAGCCCCACAAAAATCACATACTCTATGTATAAGCTATATGGAATGGAGCACATGCCTTCTAAGGAATCTTCGCCGCTCTTTAACGTTAGAACGGTTGGGTTTGTCGTACGTGAAAAATGAATAGAACCATTTTTGTTGATACTTAAATAAAATTTATTTTTTGTAATTACCTCAATCAACCTCCGAGCCCTAGAAAACGGGAATTTTTGCAAAGAGCTTATTTTTGTGACCTTTGACCTTTGGCGGTGACGCTATCGTTGTCTATTTTTAATATGAAGTTTAAAACAAGGAAATAAAGCGATTAAAAAAGAAAATAGTTGATATAAGATTTTTACAACTCAAAACCTATAATGACAGGGGTATAGCGCTTCTGTTCAAGGGTGCTTGAGGCATCAGAAACGCGAGTCGCCATTAATGACAGCCGTGCCTATCCAACTTTATTGAAACGACTCTTTAAATACTCCCAATTTTATTAAGAACGAAGTGTAAAAATTGCAGCGAAATCATCACGCATGCGTCTATGTGCAACAAACATGCACATTCCGTGAAAAAGTGTAATTAGCATGTCTTTTAAAAATATTTCAAGACAATCGTGAAGGAGTCCCCAAATAATTTTATAGACAATTGCATAAACGTTATTTATTTTATGGGTCACATCTAGAATTGCTACAGTTTTGGGGATTGGTTATCCCCATCATCAGGCTAAAAAAATCAAAAGAAATTACATTGAAATATTAAAAGTATAAACATTTAAAAAAATATAAGTAATCTTTTTATATAAATCACGAGATATGTTGGAAGTAAAATTTTGTACAACCAAACAAAGCAGAACCCATAATATGAGATTATTATAGGATCTCTCTTTTAATTATTATTAGTTGAATGTGGTGTTGCCGATCCTGTAAACTGTTTTTAAAATATGTTCATGTTTTGAAACTTTCTTTCATACTTCATTTGTTCCTTGCTTAGCATTGTTGAGACATGTTCTTACAGTACCTGGCATTGGACTTACCAATGAATCGTAGTTGCTGTTTATGTTATACTCGCCTTCAAAAATTCCCAACATCCAATGGCGGTGTATGTTACCGTCATAGGGGATACAAACAGGTAATATTGCAATTTCAAAACTATAATCACAGTAAAAATACTTGAAGGTATTGATCACGCGAATAGTTTAGTACAGCTACATTTTTTTGCTAATATGCACAATAATGCACAAAGATGACCGGTAAGCTGTTATTCTACGTTATGATCTAATCATCATATAAGATCTTTCTCAATTAGTTTCGAAAATTCTGTCGCAAAATCTTCTACAACTACATTTTATTCTTCCCCGGATTTGCTCAACACTTCCTTTTCCCCCCTTAATGTTTGAAGAGATTAGAACCCAGTCTCATTTGTGTTGACTTCCACTTATGTGAATTATGTGAATGTTATGTTTATGTGACTAAGGTGTTATTGAAGTTCAATAAGAATAAGTTCTGTGTCAATTTCATTTGAAAATCGTTATTTGTACACTTAGGAATGTATAAGTGAGAAGTCAAACGTAAGAACGTTCGTGTATTCTCAAACATTACTCACAGTTTTGTTTTCTCCTTATTACCTTGAAATTGTTCAAATTTAATAAGTTGCTAAGTAATACTTTTTGTAAGATTTTTGCAAATGTATTTTTTAAATATGGAATTAAGTGTACGGTTAAAAGTTAATATGAAATATGCTGCGCAATTCAATTGTTCAAATTAATTTCACTTATTAACTTGAGATGTCAACATCAGTGTTACCAACGCCATGAAATAATATTATCGCGTATTGAAAGAAAAATGTCTTTGGGTACTGAAGTTTAATCAGCGCCACCTACATAGAACTGTTTAGGTGGCATTGGTTTCATTCCCAGTACACTTCCTAAGATCGCAGTGCCAAAATATGAAAAAACCTTTTTTGGAAATTTCTTTGAATCCTCTGACCCGATCCGAAAACAAATTATCAATTCCCCATCAGGAGACCGAGACGCGCCAAATGACACCTCATATGTCTCGATTGGTGCACGGGAAGTGGTCAAACCGCGAGTGACGGCACCCCACACTAGGAGTTGCTCAAAGACTGTATAGCGATTAAGGACAGATGTTCAATGTATTTACTCTCTTTATTTTATCATTTTTCCTTTCTACGCAAAAAGTAAGATTTAATTGTATTTTTGAATTTCAGACAAACAATAAACTTAATAAATTCACAGTAATGAATGGTAGAAGCAGCATATAGGTGCTGAAAAATCTTGTGAAATAAAGTTTGGAGGTTTCTACAACTTTACCGAAGTTGATTTTCGTAAAGAAGTTCAAAATATTTTAACTATCGGACAGTGATTTAGTTTTCCTATTACTGAGAAAGACAAAAACTAATCGTTTTAGAATATATTAAAGAATTTGAAAATAAATTTTTTTTGATTCCTGAGATGTTACGCAACCAAGCACGTCTTACTTTATTCAACACCTTGAATGACTTTTTATGCAAACGTAGTAAACACAACGGAAAAAGCTGAAAATATTTGAAACGTTGCAAATAACTTAGGGTTAAAAACACGATATTTTGTATTATTAAATGTGATAAAGGACGAGCCATTGCATCAATTAATAAAAATATATATAATTTTAAACTTATTCAGGTTTTTATGAGGATTTGCACAATGAAATTCTTAAGAAAGACTATTCAAAATGAACTTTACATAATACTCAGGAAATTTTGAAATGTTGGAAAAATCAAGAATATATTAATTACAAACCATAACGAATTGTATTCGACTATTCCTAATTATTCTTTAGCATATGGGTTTGTGAAGGAACTTTAAACAAATATCCAATGCATCCAATCACCTAGTGTTACAATGAAATGTACCGCAGAACAAAAATATGTGATTGTTATATAGTTCAGTGCCCTGTTGACAACAGTTAAATCCATTTTTCGCTATCACCTAAACTTCCTTCTAAAAAAGCAAGTTTATCTGGGCTCGGTTGCGTTATTTATTTTGTTGTGGCGCTTATCACTTTCTGTTATTTTAGGAATATTATTACCTAGACTTCATTTGAAGTCATTTAAAGCACATTTAGTCACAAATTCCATAGTGTTTACAAATTACTGGAAATGTACATATTAAGGGCGTGAGATATTTAAAAAAATACATTTGTGTATCTTTTCTAAAAAACATGAAAATACCCCCGAAATGAACTTTACGTCATATTAAAGACTGCAATTATCACTATCCGTTCGAAAAGTTTGAAGGAAAAAATTCGAGCTGTTTTTGAGAAAATGGCGTTTGAGCGTTCATGAAAATGCGGAAGTGTGAGCTACTTTTCATAGAAAACGGTTGAGATTTCAACAAACCTTACGTGACATAATTTATAGCACATCTACTTAGAAATATAATGTAAACTAATTACTGCTAGTGTAAATATTAACGACGTGAGAGACGAGTAAAAACAATTACATTTTTGTAATTTTTGGAAAAAAATAATAGAGCAATGTGATGTCTGTCAGCTTATAGAGTTCGTTTAGCATTAACCCTACCAAAAGTATAAAGACAAACTTTGGAGGAGTTTTGGAAAAAAACCTTGTTTTTGTTACTTTTTAAAATTGTAGATATTAATCGCAATATTGCGCGAAAACTACTCATATTTTTTTAAAAATATACATGAACTTAATGAAAGAACTCACCATGTAGAACAAATTTTATTAGAAGAAAACTCAATATATTTAATTTTGTAGCTGCAGGAATTCACCAAAAAATTCATACTTTTGCAATTTTCGAAAATTCAGTGCTAACCGTGAAAATCGGAATTATGCCACCTTTAAAAGTGTAAAGGCGTCATGTAAAGTACTACCAAATTTTAAAGAATGTTTTTCAAAATCTCAAAGCTTCGACTCGATGGACCAGATGGACAGGGGTTTCTTAAATGTGGAAAAAATCCTACGTATGGTTTAAGCCCTAGTAGTCTTCACAGACGGACAGACACGGAAGCTTTGAAAAAAAAACTACTTTTTCGGTAACAGGAGACCCCAAAACGTGTATTTTCATTGAAATCTCGAAATCAATTTTCCGCAACATTAAATAACTTTCCCTATACTACATATAATACGCCGTATATACGTACCCGGGAAAGTTAAATCGAAAGAAGAAATTATTCAGTCTCTTGTACTTTTTGTACCTTCCATCAATAGTAAACTTGATCGTATTATGAAAGAGAGATATCAATGTTCGGTTGTAACAAAAACATAAATAAAAAGGTAGATAAGAACGGTAAAGATTGTTTCCAAATTAAATAAATTAAATGTCGTTAATGGTTTTAAATGTAATGATTGTCCAAGCATGTACATGGGGTCAAACCAGTAGAAAACGTTTGATTCGAATGAATGAACATCAAAGAAACGTTAAAGAATTTACAACTCGTCAGAATTCTGTTTCCAAATATCGTATTGAATATAACCATTCTTTTAATTTCTCAAAGCCAAATATCGTTGAAGTAGAAATTCATGAGTATCCGCACGTGATCTCAAAAACTTTGCGGATCAAGATCAAAGATTCAATTAATGCTGTTATCGAAAGTAACCAGTTCACCAAATTATTCGATGACCAAATTAAATGTTTCTCTATTTTATCGGTTTAAGCAAATGCAAAAAGCAAACCAAATTAAATGTTATTACTATTTAAAAGCTTATTGGCTCTTTCTGGGTGGCATTTACAATTTGTTCACCTCAGTTTTCAAGTAGCCTTGCCCTTCCTCCCTCTTCCTTTCTACGACTCAACATCCCCTTTTCATATAAATGCGATGAAACCCATAGGGGTAACAATTTCTTTCACTCCACTGCCATATTGACAGTCTGGCATGGCCTTTTGCCGATGCATGACGATAATTTTTAATATTTTGGGCTCTGCTTTGTTTGACAAGTGCAACCTCTACGTAATAATTTCACTTCCAATATTTCTCTTGTTTTATATAAAAGAGGTTACTTCGATTTTTTTAATGTTTATGATTTTATTATGTCAATATAATTTCTTTTGAATTTTTTAGCCTAATGATGGGACAACTAATCCCCGAAACTGTAGCAAATATGGGGAAGACCCATAAAATAAAGTTGATGCAAGAGTCTGTCTCTACATATATTTGAGGACTCCTTACCTTCAAGCACTATATATATATATATATATATATATATATATATATATATATATATATATATATATATATATATTGTGCCTGAATCAACATTGCACGTGCTGCTTCAATATACGTACCGTTCTATCTAACTCAACTGGAGGTAAAGGGCGTCAGAACTGGCTCTTTGAACTCTGCCAGGTAAAGGAGGTTCAGTATTAAAATCGAACTCATCATGCACCAAACACAGATTTAACACATTTCGTGACTTCATAGTAGGAGGACAATCTCAAATATTATATGATACATCTATATTGATGGTGTCTTACATGTTTTTTAAATTATTTTCGTATGTTCGTGTGTATGATGTTTGGAATCAATCGCGTCGCGTGAAATTTAAGAACAGTATTTCCTAAGTCTTTCTTCAAAATTTCGCGACCATTTCGATCTGAACCCGTGTATTCAAAACACCATGCTAAAGACCACTCTACAACGAAGACATACTTTTAAGCATCGACCTTTCGTGCGTAATTTGCAATACAGCGTACGCTTTACGGTTATGAACTACCTCAGGCTCCACAAGTGTAAACCTAAAAGCTATAAGGGCTGCACATTAGATATTTAAAAAAAATAAAAACCTAGCTGTTCATTGTACAGGTACACCGAAATTTGTGGTAGGGATCTATATTTTATATTTCAGAACTCGTGATACATAATGGAATGTCATTGTAAAGTTACCTCTGTCAAATTTAATAAACGTCTGGATGTCAAAATATCCCTTCGTTAGAGAAAATCCGTTAACAGCTGCGTCTTTCTGAAAAGCTGTCAACCAACTTAACGGTGACACAACAAAAGAAAGGTAGGGAAACCAACCACGCAACTTCTGAAATTAAAATAAAAACAAACACATATCTTATGTAACCTCATTGTATGTACAGTATGTTAGTAAGAATTCTATTTTGGAGTTCTTATCCATATTATGGAAATAAATATCAAAAGATCAAAATAGAAACATTTTCACCAACAAGTGATTAATTATTCCAAAGAACCACATTACCAAGAAATTATCGTATTTTCTGAAGAAAATGAACAATTATCGTAGTGAATAATACTTTTGAGATTCAATTTATTTCATTGCCAGTTGATAATTTTAAAGAGATTATCACCCTGTGATATTAAGCAAATAGACGAATGACATCTAATTTTGACTTAGATTACTACATGCTATTGTGGCCCTTGAGAATAAGGCAGGAAATCCAGAGGTCATCAGTTCCATATTTTGATTAATGACATTCAAACATTACTTACAATTTTCTTGAAAAAGTCCTTTTCCGCTTTTCCCTTCATATATCTTATGTCAGGCGCGTCAGAAATATTCACGATGGTTTTTATTTCCTGTTTTGTTGCATTATTTAGGATCACACTAACTTTCAATGAGGCAAACGGTGGTACGTTGTCACAAGCTTCGATTTCACAATTTTTGGTCTGTAGAACAAAGAACAACAATTAAAAATTGGCAGTTCTATTTATGAAAGTACATAGCATGCACTTTGGAATATTTTAGAACATCGCACTTACATACCTTAAGTGATGATAAGCTACAATTCGAGCATGGAAAAATCAGAAAAGTCTGTGTTGCAAAACATCATTCAAAACATTTTTCTCAAAATAATGTATTTGGATTTATTTTAGACTTCAGAACAACAACAACAACAAAGATTCGACACTTCAACACCTACACTGTGTGATTTGCTTACTCTACATTCACCTCGCAACTTCTGAACCCCACTAATTAGTAATCGTTAACCCTTCTAAAACATCACATAATGTTCCCTAACCAAGTTCTCTAAAACCCCTAAGAGAAAGCACTATCAATGACCAAAATGAAATTAACATCGATCCTACACGAATTCTTCCTAGAAGTCTTAGTTTCAAGCCAACTTACGTACCTTTCCATCCATAAACCTTCTATCAAAACAATTCCCATATTTAGAGATTCCAAAATCAGTCCTCTTACCCGTATTTTCTGAACTCGCCGAAAACTTTCAAATCTTCCAAACTAGTGGTGCTAACAGTACGTACTTCTCACCTCACTAAGGTTACATAAAATTATAATACAGAAATGTATTTCCGTATTAACAAATTCCAGTCATCACTTGTAAAATACCAATCATCGCGCATTACAGGCAAAAACTTAAGATGATGCATATCCTATATAAGCGGAACCTGGATAAGGAGTAAACCTGCTTCGCGAGAAACTCTAAAAAACGGACTATTTTCCTTTACAAAGTACACTGGAACAGCCGGAAACCTGCCTAATGCGGAAACGGAAATGAAGATTTAGTACGACGGTATTAAAAATTATAAATATCACGAAAAACAAATATTATTTTAAAATTAAACTTCGACTTGTATACTCCTATTTAAACACAGAGGCACTTCACTGTCACGAGCTGGACGGTGAGAGGTACACTGTCATCGAATGGGGAGCTTCGTTACGTCTTAAATTTTTGGTATTGGAGCTCCCGGTAGGAAGACAATGTCCCCAGCTTCTTCCAGCTCGTGATCTTGAAATGCCACTGTGTTAAATGTGAGCATTAGAGGGCGACGTCATAACAGGATACATTAAACAAGATACAATTTTGTAGAACAGATTTTACTCACAAGAAAAGTATTTATCTTTAATAATGTCATTGTAGCCAAACAAGTTTTGAACTTATGCAATTTTCGAAATTTTAGATGTTTCAACGAAAGTGAGACCCACGCCGGTTTCGAAGTGCATTTTACGCCATCTGAGGACAATCTTAAAACAAAAATATCGGAGCCATTTTTGGAAAAAATGAACATTTTCTTTAGGCTTTATGTAAAGTAAAATTAAAACATTGGTATAAAATTCAAGGCGCAGCAATATCAGCCAGCTTGATGGATCATCAGCCATCTGCATAAGCAAATTTTAAGTTTGGTAAAAATACTTGATTACATTGATTGATTGCCTTGATATTACTCCAACTACTCAGAGATGTGTAGAGCCTGCACTTAAATGTGAATGAGAGGGACAGAGAGAGGCAGAGACAGACACACTGAGACAGGGACAGAGAGAGAGAGAGAGGGACGGAGAGAGAAAGAGAGAGGGAAGGAGAAAGAGGGAAATTAAGGGCAGAACGCGAATATACAGTAACCTTCAGATATTCCAAAATATGCAAAAACTGGAAAATAAAATTTCGCAAGAAAGCTCCAAATGGACTGATTCGTAAATAAATGTAATAATTTTCTAAGAAACCTTTTCCAAAAATATAATCGTTTGCATATACATGCGGGCTCTATTAATAACTAAAATACTATAAAATAAATAATAACACTTTATCAATACTGCGGTCTTTTCTTCGCTTCCAATGATCCTTGTAGCACAACCCTCTCCACATATTTGTTTTTGATCCGGGTATGCATTTCTTTGAATTGATCACGGTGAAAATAGTTCTCAAATCACTCATCAAATTCATTAGAGCAAATTCTTCTTGTATTTCTCTTTTCTTCATCTAATGCTTCTTTCTCCTTTTTGCCCCAACAGAACGGCGTAACATAACATTTCTAAGACGCACTCGTTATCGGAATCCGATTCAGAACTCAAATCCCCTACCATCGCGTAAATACTCGACATCGTCAGCGCTCGCACCGGAGTGAACTTCGCAGTAAGAGAAAACTGCAGTGAGATGACCTTGCGGTGTTGGCCGCTGTGACTCACTCTCCCGTGAGAAATTTGGCGTGAGTGCTGCTGCGTCTCGTCACGGACCTGCGTCTCATTTTGCGACTAGCCTTAGCCTCTGAGGCAGGCAGGGCCGCTTCTATGACGAAGTGAAATAATAATCCGGATAGAGGATAGCTCTTGCGGATCCCGCAGGCAATAGCTGAAGGTCCCGTGGGGCCCTCCCCCTCGAGGACCTGGGTGCAACGTGTATTACTCCCGCAACTTTTCTTGAACGATGACCTTGATCCCCCTCCCTTGTGCAATAAACAGTTGAAGGCAAAAGCTCGCAGCGGGCACTGATGACAACCTTCCAAGCATTAAAACTTCGTTGGCGCGAAACAGAAGCTAGTCAATGCCAGTTGCTTTCATAGTGCAGAACCCCTGTTCAGATTTATTGTCAATATCAAAAGAAATAGCTGAGTCAGGTCCAGGTCCTTCAAGGGAGTCAACTAAAACTCCCGAAAAAGTTAAGCACAAGATGCAGTTTTGACTTTCATTTCACAGACGTTGGCATTACTTAAAATGCTCTAGTGGCTGACTTTGTAACTAATACCCCCACTCCACCCGAAATCGTCAATCCATCGTTCAAGAAAAGTTGCTCGAGTAATATCCGCTATGATCGCACGGATCTAGGCTTCCGCGCCGGCCGCATCCATTGCAGTGTGCGGCGCTGACCCGAACCTGCTGGCCGTCGGAAAGCGTGAATAGTGGCATCGCAGCGCCATTGTGGCCCGATTCGCGCACTCACCGCCACTGAGAAGGCAGGCTGCACGGGACCGCCTCCACGCCCTCGAGCCGCATGAAGAGAGCGAACCCCTCGGCCGAACGCCGCGAGGGCCTTTTCGCTCCGTCGCTTATTTTGCGCGCACCTCAAGCGTCGTAGCGGATGCCACCTCCATGCACCCCGTGGCTAGTAATTTATGCACAGGTGGCAGCGGAGACGGAGATGGGGATAATTGCTTACAAGTGGGCGCGGGGGCGGGCCAAGCCGTAGTTTTACTCTTTGGGACAATTGAGGGTGTCAACGCAATAGTGGCCTATCCCCAGATCCTGTGTTTGGAGAAAATGGCTGATGAATTTATTGGAAAAATTTAACACTCATTTGTGTTTTCATATTATGATATTATGTAAGAATGACCACTGACTAAACATTTGTGGTGGATTGCATCTTGTGGAAAACAGCATCGCCTACGTTTAGGCCACTATTGCACAAAGAAATGTAATCGTAAGGTGAGTGCAATAGTTCTTTTTGTAATTATAACTTGAAAACTATCGACGCGAACATGCTGAAACTGTTACACGTTGAAGTTAGGGAGATTAAGATGTGATTAACACAGAGAACGCAATTTTCTAAAAATGTGGGATAGGCCACTATTGCGCTGTCACCCTCAATTTGCTTCGGCATGTTCGCCGGCGTAAGGGCCGCGGAGGGACACCTTGGCCCATTTCCCGCGTAGGGATGTTTCCCTCAAACCAAAACTATTCTAACTAGTGATGCTAAAACAGCACGTACCTTCTCGCCCTTATTTTCACGTAAAATTACGCGGAAAATACTAAAATTTTCGAAAAAGTGTACACCACCTTATTTCAAAATATAACTTTAAGGAACACTTTTCATTACGGGAAAAATCTCTATCTTGAATATTTTAGTTTCTCTTAAACGTTCTTCACACTACCAAACAACACAATTTAATCCAAAACGATGGAGCCATTTGTTTTGAAAAATTGATAATGTCCCAGGGGTTTCATGTAAAGACTCCCAAAATTAAAATATCGATTTCACATTTAAGATGCCGCGACATTACCCAGATCGATTGGGGAATATCAATTTTGGTGAAAATCGGCTGTACGGTATAGCCGCTAGCGTTGTTGACAGTCAGACAGACAGACCTACAGACAAACTGACTTGACGTTTTGCCAACAATCGATTTTTCGGTATCAAGGACCCATAAAACACGGATCCTGGCTACAACGTGTTTGAGGATTTTTTTCGTAAATTTAGCAACTGGATTTATCAACTTGTTTGTAACCAGATCCCTGTAATAAGAGTTTTTCGTCCGAAATTGGCGTATCATTTACATAACATTTTCTCTACTGCGTTCGCGGTAGCGAGAAAGTAAAATCAGCAATTATATCATATAGTACAATAAATGCCGTACAAAGCCCCAAGGGTAGCGCTCTGGTCAGTGTGAACGCTTTCCATGATGCCATCCCGGATTCGATTCCTGGTCGGGGCAGATTAGTGTGCGCATTCCTTGCAATGTCCTTGTATCTGCTGCTGTATGACGATGTGAAAGATCGCTTCTCAGAATGAGGAGACCAGAATAAAGTGTAGGGATGTCTGTGTGCTAAACACGTACCACTTAACCCACGATTACAAGGCTGGGTCGTCGGTGGTAGGTCTTGCCCCCGACAGAAGCTGTTGGGCCAGTACAGACAGACAGACAGACAGACGTATGTCGTGCAAGACCTATCAACGACACAAAAACGATGGCGAAAAGCCACAAAATAAAACCTTTGCTTTCCTTTTTCCTCATTTGCAACTTGACATAATAATGAAAAAAATATTTATAATATATTTCCGTCCTTCAACTTCTTAAAATTCTATCTTAATATAATTCTAACTTAAACACTAGCCATCACCAAAATAGCGCCCATCACAACAAGAGTTAAAATTCAAACCATATTAAGTAATTTGTAATAACTTACTTCGGTTTGACTGCCAAAACAGGAAGCTCCACCGAACGAAGGCACTGGATTATTGCATAATCTTTCTCTAGATTGTGTGCTGGGCCCACAGGTGGCGGAACACGAGCTCCAAGGACCCCATTTGGACCAACCACCATCCACTGAAAATTACAGAAGTACTAACGTAAGAAGTATTGTATCACTCAGGAGATTGCTATTGGTGTTTTTACTAAGATATACAAGAATTCCCAATAATACGCAATAGAATCATATATCTTAAAAAGCATATACAGGTTTCTCAGCGTCTCAATTTCTACACTTTTGTAGAATATATTTTTTATCACTCTCTCTATCCTTACTTTTTCTGTCAGAACTCGCTTGTACGAGGTAGAACGAGCATTGAACGGGAATTGAATCCATCACATATAAAATCCTTCGATAGCTTAGTAATTACCTTCATAGCTGTGTAGCTAAAAAGAACATTGCATGCAATGGGATCAGTTCTGGTAATTTCCCTATTGAGAAGTGGAAAATAACCGTCCAGATACCATATACAAAATTTAATTACACATAAATAAATATTTGAAGAAATGAGAACGATAATACATTAAAGAGTACACAGGCTACTTCAAAGCAATGTTAATTTTCCGATATTTTCGTTTTCTACATGGTCTTCTTTTATCAGCCATTAAAGTTCCTGAGAAATATCATTTCTGTTGCTTGAATTTTGCTTTGATCTCTCTTTTTCATTATCCATGATTCGCTTGCATACAGGAAAATTAGAGCACCTATGGGTTTATAAAATTTTATTTTTAGTCTTTCCTTGATTTATTCCAAAGACTTGTGTTTATAATTCCACACACTGATTTAAATTTATTCGTTTATTTTCTACGTCTTTCTCCAAGTCATATCTGATAACACAACCAAAATAAGTAAAAGTAGAAATTTGATCAATGACTGTGTTGTCAATAGTTATTTTTGACTTCTTGGCTGTCCGGGTCACGCCGCGTCATTGGCTGAGAGGCCGACGTTTCGCCTGTCATATCGCACGCAGGCTTTAGCATTACTCTGTCACTACCCTGAAGAAGCCTGCGATATGACAGGCAAAACGTCGGCCTCTCAGCCAACGACGCGGCGTCACCCGGACAGCCAAGAAGTCATGAACTCGAGCCGCAGAAGCCTACGTGTATAATAGTTATTTTTGCAAATACCTTATAAGCAGCATTCATAAGTATAATACTTCGTTAATTTCCACACCCGTTTCTTTTACTTTCTCCCTACCTCTTCCGCGGTAGAACGAAAGTTATGTAATGCTGAACGAATTTTTGGCAGAAAAACCTATTACACGGCTCTGGCAACGAACAAGTGTATAAATTCAGATGCTAAATTTAGAGAAAAAATCCTCTAACACGAGGTGTAGTCAGAATCCATGTTTTATGGGTTCTTGATACTGAAAACTCGATTGACGGCTGGCTGTCCATCTGTGAACAACGCTAGCGGCTAAACTGACTATTTTTAAATATTGATAATCTTGCGATTTTTAAAATTTATTTTTATTTATTTATGTTAAACTTTTACTCGTCTTTCAACTATTTATAGTTAAAATGACGGGAAGGGATTCTGGAACTAATAATCTAAATAAATGTTCTCGTCGTAATTCAGAAATAAATTTGTGAAGGGGATTATTCCGAGTTTATTATCCGTCCAACCTCGCCCTTCTCATTTCCCTTGTTAACTTATAACACTCGCCACTGGATCCGCCACTACCTTAGGTTTAATTCTTTTCAGAACTATCATCAACTTTATTTTTTCTCGTAATCTTAAAAATATGATTTAAATAGTAGAACCAACCTGGGCAATCCGACTTTGGACATGATTTATATACCACACTATTTCCACTACAATTTTTACCACCAAAAGCAGGAATTGGGTTTGTACATTGTCTTGTTTTTTTTGTTTGGCTTGGTGAACACTGTTTGGGGCATGGATATTCTTCCCAATTGGACCTACAAACAAAATTCCAGAAATCAGAGTTTGTAGTCAAAATCCTCGTTAAAAGTTAGTATTTGTAAAAAGTTTTATTTATATCTCCATTAATGTAGATGAATGCTTATCTTACAAGCGGACGTGTATGCTCTTGTGTTTAAAGATAAATCACTTTTATAATAAACACAAACATTTTATTAAACTTCATGAATTCCATCTTTCTTACCATTTTCCATCGACAGGACAAGGATTTGTTTTGCACCTAGACGTTTCAGTGCTTGGACCAGAACATGGTTTTCCACCGTGTTCAGGCACGGGGTTGTCACAGAGGCGACTTCTTTTTCTTTCTCCTGAACCGCACGTTTTGGAACAGGTAGACCAGAGGTTCCATTCCCCCCAGGAGCCATTGACCTGAAAAGGCATTTTGAGTTATCCAACTAGTAGTGCTAAAACATTACGTACTTTCTCGACATTAGTAATGGTTATGTGATACAATTTATACCACAATTTCTCTCCTAATAATTTTTTTAACTGATTTGAAATCGGAGAACATTTGGTACGCAAAATAAGCGGTATGCGAGAAAGTAAAACAATTAAAAGTTACAAATAATACTATACTGATAGCGTTGGCAAAGAAGTGCAAATTGATATAAAAATATATAATAGTAATTATTAAACACTATGGTATTGTAATATTCTGCAAATATACTCGTACAGAAGTACTAGTTTTCATTACTGCGAACGAAAAGCATCCGTTATTATCACTTCTGTTATCTGTGCGGCGTTACAACAGTGGGTAACAAAAACAATAGTGACCACTTATTTAATTATTTTCACATTTAACACAATGTATTAGAGGACACACTTGAAAATGAAATAACATAAATATATAATAAATAATAACCGCAATAAAATGAAATATAAAGTTATGTACAAATTCTAACTTACGTAGCATCCAACAGCGTAACTTGAGTGCGAGTGACTGGCTAACAATCTTTATTTAAAATTTACTTTAAATAGGTTTTAAATAACTTCTAAAAGATTAAGCAAAGCATTTTGCAAAGCATTACAAAAGCAAACAATGTAAGAAACGAACAAAGATATATGACGTAATATAAACATTCTAACTTACTATTCTAACCTCCAATTTCTTCAAAACACCTCTAAAATTACATCAAGGAGCGCAGAAAAAATGTTTAAACCGAAATTAAATTTGTCTATATTTCATGCAAAATTATGCGAAAAATACTCAAATTTTCGAAAAATTGTACATGACCGTATTTCAAAATCTATCTTTAAGGAACAAATTTCGATCTGGAAAAATCTCTATCTGTAGTATTTTAGTCGACGATAAATTAAGACGCCAAGAAAAATTTACTTTTTCTTTTATTTCTGAAAAATCTGAGGTTGTAGCCAACATACGTCCTGTGCCATTCTCTTAAATGTTCTTCAGAAAATTCAACAACAAAATTAATCGAAATCCATTGCACCATTTTTTTTTCCAATTGTCCCAGGGCCTTCATGTAAAGTAACCACGAAAATTAAAATACCTCTTCCAAATTCAGAAGACCGCCAAATTCATCAGCCAGATAGATCAGGGAATGTCAATTTTGAAGAAAATCGGCTGAACAGTTTAGCCGTTATCATTGCTCACAGATGGACAGATTGACTTACAGACGTTTTGCCGTCAATCGATTTTTCGGTGGCAAAAACCCACAAAACAGGGATTATGGTTACAGTAAGTGTTAGAAGATTTTTTCCCTAAATTTATCAACTAGATTTATCCACATTTCGGTTACCACGGCCCTGTAATAAGAGTTTTTCCATACAAAATTCGCCGTTTTTTCGCGCTGCATTACATAACTTTCTATTCTTAAGAAGTTCCGTCTTAAGCACGAGAAAGTAAAATAGTAAATTTTAAAATGAAACCTGTTGCTGGACCGCCATTGCTGTTTACTGAGAACTTTGGTGCATGTTTCGAGCATAATGAATAAAGCTTTTTGTTTTCGAGTGTACGAATGTCCACAATTATGTTTTGAAAGTTGTTAAATACTTCAAAGCAGACCTAAATAAGGCATTTTTCCATTTAGTACTAATGATATAATAATGGCAGTGCGGGTGCAATTGCTGACCCTGCAATTGTAATGTATGTGCAATCCCTCGATACAGCCGAAGATAATTCTGCACGGCGCGGCTTCCGGTTGTAAAGATGAACTTCCGATACTATTTTGGAATAGTCTGTAAGAATGGAATACGTTTTCTCTTTGGTTAAGTACTACCTTCAAACCAATGTAATAAACTATTTCTGAACGATCTGAGGGTGTCTCTCAGAATGTGTTTTTCGTCTGCCGGCATCAGATTATGTTGTGTGAATTAATGCGTGTTTTTCGTGTTTGGGAAATATCAGAAAGTAAGTTGTCAATACCGATAACTGATAATTTGAAATTATTATTTTACGTTTAAACTAAATATAATGAATACCCAAATGCAGTTTAATGTGATGCGCACTTTTAATTCCCAAAACTTTCCAGTGATTAAAAGGTAATTTTACATGTAGACGTCTGGTAATATGAAATATTCTATAATTTGATTTTATCTTTATTCTTCCGGAGTAGAAACAAATTATTATACGAGTATTTGTAAATAAGTATTAATATATTTGTATCTGTTATTATATTAGTAAATTACTAATTTGTTTTTAAAGCTCTCTGAAGTGATTTTGTGGCCAATTGCTGGGCAGTGAAAATACTACAAAATACTCAAACCCATCTTCCCCCTGTGTGCTATTTTTGAGTTGTGGCTCTCTTCTTCCAGATCGACAATATTATTAGAAAGTTAAGCACCATAGAGGGTGGTCTACATGAGAACAAAAGGATTCTGCCTAGCACTCTGGGTCAAATTAGAAGATAACAGATAAATGAAATTTTTTGAATAAACCTCAGCTGTATAACGTAGTTGTTAAAGTAGATACATGAATTATCAACATAATTCTTGGAGTGAACCAATAATTTAACATTCATATTTTGATGATGATAATATAGATAATTATAAATTGTGTAAAAAAATGTAAAAAATTCTCATACAGTGCAAAATTCATGCTTCTGTTGCGATTCTTCTGTTTTTCCCCAGCAACGTTTCATTCTGTCATTGCATAAACGCACTCTCATTCGTTCCATCTTTCCGCATTTTGGATTCCACTGAGACCATTCAGACCATTGGCCCCACTTGCTTCCATATCTTCGGGAGAGTTTGATGGATGTTGGAGTTTCTGAAATAATAATAATTATAATAATAATATTAATATTAATAATAATAATAATAATAATAATAATAATAATAATAATAATAATGCCTATCCGAATAGCCGAGATCGCTAAGGCACTCTCCCATCTCGATCAGGTTTTTGTCCATTTTCGTGATCCACTGAGCAATACTGGCATTTCCCCTTGCTTTGCTTCTGGACGTAAATGTAGCGCACGTTTTGTTGAACTCTCCTTTTACTTGTAATGGTAGAAGAGGTAAGAGGGAGTTACTTTAGAGAAGAGAACTAATCTTAAACTAACATCTATTCCAACCTCTACGCTTAATTCTAACATATTTACATTATGTACATTACTCTCTTCACTTTCACTATTTGCGTGGTCTTTATAGTCTGCCAGCTCAACTTGTCACTGGCTCATGCGGGGTATAGCATGCAATTGCGGATCTATTTGTTCCTCTATCCTACGTCGCACTACGGAGAAATATACGTAGTAGAGAAAGTTATGTAATGCTGCGCGAAAAAATGGCGGATTTTCGACAGAGAAACTGTCATTTCCGCACCCTGATAACTAAAATGTGGCACAATCCATTCGCTAAATTCAGATAAATCTAAAATCAGAAGAAACAAATCCTGAAACACGTGTAGCTAGAATCCCTGTTTTGTGAGTACCGAAAAATCAATTGGCGGCAAAAGATCCGTCCGTCCGTCCGTCCATCTGTCCGCCGGTGAACACCACTAGCGCCTAAACCACACGTAGGATATTTTTCCAAAATGGATATTCCCCGGACGATGTGGCTCGACTTGAGGCGCTGTGATTATGAAAAACTTTCTATAAAATTTGAGGAATTTTGCATGAAGCCCCTGGAACATTTTCAAAATTTCCTCAAAAATGGATACAAATTTGTTCTTGATATGAAAGAACTAAATGAGAAAATATTACTTGAAGGAAAACTATTGATTTTTTAATTTTATAGTTGTAGAAAGATACCCCAAAAATTCAAACTTTTGAAATTTCGAAAATTTAGTGTTTCCTGAACATCAGATCTATGCCACCTTTATAAGTGCAGTTTATTCTACCAAGAAAATTTTTAAAAAATAGAGCTTTTTTTTTGAGAAAAGTTTGAAAATGTCCTAGAGGATTCGTGTAAAGTACAAATAGTTTCTTTAAACTTATGGTTAATGATGGTCCATCGGCCGGCAAATTAATTCAAATTTGGCGCCACGCTTCGAGCAGCTCAGTTTCGCTGTTCTTTGGAGGCATTTCAGAAGAAAAGATCATACATTTCAAACTTCCCGCCACGAAGATTTGCTCAAAAAACTGAGCGAATTCTTTCCCAATTAACCAAATACTTATTTTTCTTCAAAGCTCTTTGAAATTGAATTTGAACTGCTTCAAAAAAATCAATAATAGTTGCACCACCTGGGCGGCCGCGACGAAAATGCTGCCTATTGTCAGATTTCCTGGAATCCAATTTTTTCCACATCAGACACGATGAGTTCGCATTTTGAAATTCAGAGAATCCGCGACTATTTTTGTTGCGATCGTGCCGAGAAGCTAAGCAATACGCGTATGGGGCGAATTGAATGTTTGTGGTACGTTGTCAGCGAGCAATTATCATGTAGTTGCTTTGAACCAGCGCTCTGGGATGTGAAGCAAAAAATCAGAAAGCACGAATGACGTGAAATTCGTAAGGAGATATATATTCATCCAGAATATTTTCGTCCAGGCAGAGGTCACCATGACAATCTCTTTAATACTCATTGATTCTTACGGCAAAGTAATAATCTTTGACAATTATGTGTCGCTTTGTTTTTTAAACTCTCTCGTCTGATGGAAACCCAGAAGGCGATGCACAAAACTTCTCGTTGCAGTTTCTGCTAATGCTCTCCCAATTCATCTAAGCAATATTGCGCAGCCTCAACAGTAAGGATAGTGTTAAATGTACTCTGAGACGATGCAAACGGTATGTCGATCTAAATTTTTGTTTTTTCAAAAATTACTAAAGTGTAATTCATTTCATTGTTGTTTGACGATATGATGATGGTGACGATGTGATTTGATGATTTGTTTGATGAAACTGTAATTTGTCTCTCACACTGTTAATATTTACATTAGTAGGGATTTGTTCACGTTATTATATTTATGAGTACTTGTGCTTAAAATAAAATCATATAAAGTTTATCGAAAATCAACTGTTTTGTGTGGAAAGTAGCACAAAATTCCGCATTATATGAATCGCTCAAACCATTTTTTTAACTGCTCCAATTTGTTTTCGAACTTCTTGAACGAATGGTGCTAATAAATATGTAATCTTTAATATGACGTAATGTTCATTTCGGGGTATCTTTTTGTTTTTTAAAAAATTACCCAACTGTAGAGAATGACACAGAAATGCTACAGAATGACACAGACTTTCCCGTATTAGTTTTCTATTTCCTTTGGTCTCGGATAGCTATTCTGACTTATCACATATTCTTTCCAGCTGCTATCGCCGCGCAAAGTAATTTTTTTTAAATTTTTCTGTTTTCTAATTGTAGAAAGGAAGTATTATTTTAAGAGTATTAAAGAACAGTAAAACTGACCTTAATGGAATTTTTCTTTGAAAAAATTGGAGGTGTTTTTAAGAAAATTATGATCAAGTGCTACTATAAATTCGAAATTTAAATCTCTTTTTAACAGAAAGTTTTTGAGTTTTCGAAAAAGTCATTAGAAGTTATTCATAGCACATTGATTCACAAATACAGAGGAAAATACTCTTCAGAAGGAACTCTACGAATTGAATGTAGTTGTAAAAGAGTATAATATCAGCATATCCCAGGAAAATTCCAAAGTAATGTCATTTTCAGGCAAATGGCGAATAAGATGTAAAATATATTTGTAAATCAATTGATCAAATTTTACATTCCAAGGGTGTCACATATCCTTCTATGGAAAGCAGATGTAAATAAAAAAATCTTGAAAAATTAAATCACAAAACGATACTTAAGAAACAAAAACAGAATTCAAGCCTCAGGCATGAGATTTTTGAGATATACACTTGGCATGTACCGAACTGAGAAGGAACTCAATAATAAATTCGCTATACACTAATGTAAACAGCTTAAACACAATTATAAAAAAAATCGGTAGGACAACTTACAGATTATAGAAGAGAATGGTAGGACTACATACAACAAATACCTACAACGAGACTTCCGAGAAAGTTCCTGCAATATTCGATTGATGGGAAAAGAAATCTCGGGCGCCTAAGAAAGACGGGTGCCACAACAAAGGTGAAGCCGCAAGGCACCAGCCCTCAGAAAAATAATATTCAGTGAAGTAATGGTGTATGAACACAAGCTGTCCATAATTACTTCCGACTTACTTAATTTGCCGAAGAAAGATCCAAAACATTAATGTGTATAAGGTATATGTGGAGGTAGAAGTAGAAACTCCTGTCTTTAGACCTTCATTTTTCTGGCTATTTCTGGAATTTTCATTGTCTATTGTACTACGAGTATTTATCTATTAAATTACTCACCTTGTATGTATACTTTAAAGGTACTTTTAATTTCTCCTGCCTCGTTCTTTACAATACACATATATTCCCCAGCGTCAGTTCTGTGCACTTTTGGAATTAATATTATGTCTTTATCCATTGGCGTTGCATGGCTTAGAAGTGATGGCTCCAGTATTGCTCCATTTTTGTACCATAATACCTATTGTTTGAAGAGAAAAAAATCAATTAGATTTGATAATTAATATCAACTATATACAGGCTGAGTCATTTCAGATAGAAAAAATCACCACCGACGTCTCCTCAACTAGGTGAACAAATGTTTTTATAAACTTTTGCCAGAAACGTTTCGTTTTTTACAGAGATGTTTCTTGACAATGTCTGTTCAGAAGGTTATGCTTTCACTGATTCGAAGAGCCGAGAATAGTTTTATGTATTGCCAAAAAATCTACGTTTCGGATACAATCAAAGAAAAATGCAGATTTGTGAATTGACGGAATAGGGGTGCAAATTACGACAGTTCTCATCGCGTGCAACCCTCCGAACTCGCCCAACTTTAGGACGTCAAACCTTAACCCCCCAGCCGCTCGTCGCGACTGCGGTGCACTCGCTGTTCACAAATGACGCTAATAGTCTGCAGCAAAGCTTCAAGTCTTGTAAATGCGAGTAAAATCACGCTGTTACTCAGGCTGCGACGAAACAAAAAAATAGTCAGTTAAAGTAGGGTACACGGTACGCCCTTAGAGAAGCGGAGCCCCGGGTGGTTGGTGAAGAGGGGTGAAGGGGGAGGAGGGGAAGAGGTGGAGGGGAGTCTCCTTAAGCCCTCCCTCAAATTATGCTAAGTGTTCTGATGGAAATGAATAAAACGTACGGAAAGGCGATTTTTATGGATCGTAAAGTTTGGAGGCGCTCAAGGAACGACAAAAACCACTTATAGTCACCCTTCCGCATTGAACACTTACACACATGAATGGCACTTCCACTCGAAACCATCACACAACTTCTTTCGCTTGGTCAACCTCATCGGCCACTTACACACACACAGGACACGTAAATCCTGCAGGAAACAAACCACGTTCTAGCGCCCATTCAATCACAGCCAAATATCCCTTTCGGCGCCACGCGTACAAAAAATCCTCATTTATTCTCACCATGGTAGCGCAGACAGTCGACACTCAAAAACATAAATCAGAAATAATCTGAAGAACGCAAGATATAGAACTGTACGGCATCAAAGAAGCTAATCACATCGACAGCTACTCCGGCACGGAAAATCACATAGACAAACACCACCACGAATTAGACACCACTCCACACTATTTCGGAATGAAGCTCCAAGCTACTAGGATGAAATGCCCCCCCCCTCCGTAGCTGTTGGTCACGTTCGTAACCAATTACGAACCGTAGGTTTATTCCAGAAGTTTATTTTTACAATTTATTTACATCCCCCACGCTTTGATTTACATAAGCTTCCCAACCGAAAGGTTCCCCTCATAATCCCCTCAACAGCCCTCATCTCCTCCATCGTAGATTTCACCCTCGCCGGAGTGGAGAAAAGTGCCGGTTTAAACGACTTCCTTAACCAGACGTCAGTCTGGTTAAGGAAGAACAGAATTAGTCAAACAATTTGCGAGAAACTTCATTCTGAGAGAAAAGCGGCAAAGCAATTAATTATTTATTGGTAATATTTTGAGAAACACGCTAATGTTTCCTCTAAAATAACTCACATGTGTATGATTGATTACTTATTTGTAAGTTCCATCCATTTTAATGAACTTGGTAACCATGCATGAATTCTATAATTGTTAATAAATAATAAATTGTTAATAAAAATAATAAAATTGGTATTCATGTTTAAAATATTAATTTTACTTTTTCATATTACTTAGATTTCTTCTCTTTTAAAGTATTTTTCTTCTTTTTAATTCTAGCACTTATTATACTTTGATTCTTTAAAAAATTTGTTTAACATATTTTAAATATTTTAATTTAATGTAATTTTTAGGTCTGTGCAGAACTTTAAAAAATGTAGATTTTAAGTAAGTCTTACCTTTGGTTTTGGCGATCCATTATTTGAGCAATTAAGTTTTAGTTCTTCTCCAATTTTGATTATTTTTACTTCTTTTCTATTAGTTATTTCTTCATTCAAAAACGTGGGTTCTTTTAGAACCAAAATTCGCATTTCAGCATATGTATCGCCAAAGTCATTATAAGCATGACAACGATATATTCCACTATGCCATAACTTAACCTCTTTCAATTTTAGAGTTCGTTTCCATATTGTTACCTTTTTTGTGCTCTTTATGAAAGTTTCCCCCTATCAATATAGTTTGTCTATAATTAATATCTGAATCATATGCATCAGTAATGTTACGGACGTAATTGAGTAATTGACGCTACATACGGTTTTATTATACCACCTGACGGACGGATATGGATTGCCGCCAAGGGGAGGGCAAGATATTGTGATCGTTTCCGATTCCTTCACTTTCCTCAAAGGAATTAATGAATGCATCTCATCTATGTGAGGAGGCTCTAAAATAAAAAAAGACAGTCAATAATAATAATAATAATAATAATAATAATAATAATAATGATAATGATAATGATAATGATAATAAATATGATAATGATGATAGTAATGATGATAATAATGATAATAATAATGTTAATAATGATAATAATAATGTTAATAATAATAATAATAATAATAATAATAATAATAATAATAATAATAATAATAATAATAAATTTTGCAGTTTGCCGATCAGATGGCCGAGATCGCTAAGGCAGTAGTGCCGTAGTGGTTTCGGACTAGAAGATCGCGAGTTCGAGATCCTCCTCGGGCATGGGTGTATTTGTGTGTAATCCTTTCACCACTCATTATCATCATCATCATCATCATCATCATTTCATCTTCCATACCCTCAGGGCTAACAACTCTGGGGAATAAAAATCGGACTCGTCTAAATGATGGTCCCCAATTTAAGTTACTTGCACTTGCCACCGAGCCACGGTAAACACAGTTTGCATGCATGCGTGGTTCTAGTTGGCCTATTCGCGAGCAAAAACGAATTTTTGCTTTTTCACAACAGCGCATTAAAATATTTTTTATATTCACCTCTTAACTAATATTAATGCAGTTGTGAACCACGGTATATTTTATGAAACTTTGCATATTTTACATTGCATCTCAATTTTTACTTTTTAAAGTTATTTATAAACTAGTGGCGTTACAACACCACTTACTTTCTTGTATTGTTTCTAACCGCTCCATTATTTTATACTACATAAACCTACAAAAGTGTTTTCGATCAGCAAACTTTTTTTTGCTACGGAGACTCGAACTCTGGTTTTCCGAGTTTACTCGCCGTGACCCTTACCTCTACGTTTACCGAGTTTACTCTGACCCTTACCGAAACGCAGAGAGATTCGAACTAGGAACTAACTAATATGGTTTTTAAATTGTATAAATATCAGACAATTAACGCAAAAGCTACTCTTTTTTTCAAAAAATTGTACGTGACTTTTTTAAAGAACTGATTTTTTACAACAGACTTCGTTTAAGGCAAAAATCGCTATATTCAATTTTGTTCTTTTGAATTGTTTATTAACCTTTTTCAATTTTCGGGGATATTGGGAGTTCGCTGAAAGTGGGAATGGCCGCAATAGTTTTACTGTCACTTGATGCATACGAGGATAAAATTTACAAAAAACATAGACCTGTTTTTGAGAATTATTTTTAGAAATTGCATAAATTTCAAATACGAATAAGACGAAATTGGTTACATAAGAAAAATGAAAACACGAAAACAAAAAATAACATACTTGACAATTATAAAGAACCTTTTTTGTTTCTTTTGCAAAAGACCTTATCATAAGAAAAATTCGCTATATTCACTGTGGTAGTTTTGAAATATTTACTTTTTACCACATCAGAAAGTGCAGAGATTTTACCAAAAATGGGACTAGCATCAAACTTTTATACAAAAATTTGGAGCGGTTTTTGTCAACAAAATTCAAAAATTGCCTACAATCCCCGTAAATTACACAAAAACTACTCATATTTTCGAAAACTTGAACATAAACTTATTTGAATATGTGTTTAAGGAACAGAAAAAATAAATCAAAATCCCTTTTAAGAAAATGGTTAACGTTACTGAAAATGCCATTTTTAAAGCTATCTCACAGAACCTTTTTGTGATTTTCAGAAACGTCATTAAAAATATTTGAAGTACTACTAGTTACTAATAGAGTAATGTATACAAATTGCAGGAAATGTGCATATTAATTGATTTTTATAAATGCGTAAAGAAACAGACGAAAGAATGCAGAAAAATGGAAAGAATACAAACAAATAATGTCATCTTATACCGAACATTTAACATCTATTCTTACCAAAAATTTAAAGAAAAAATTTGGAGCCGTTTTTGAGAAAAACTTGTTTTAGTATTTTTTTAATTGGACATATTGCTCGCAATATCGTGCGAAAACTATTAAAATTTTCAAAAAATGTACGTGATCTTTATGAAAGAACTCACTATGGAGAACAAATTTTATTTGAAGTAAAATCTTTAACTTCAATTTTATGGTAGCAGGAAGACACCGAAAAAATTTCAAACTTTTGCAATTTTCGAAAATTTAGAGTTAACCGTGAAAATTGGACTTATTCAATCTTTATATGAGTATTTCACTGTATTCTTACAAGAGATTTAAAGAAAGAATTTACTCCCCAAAATCAAAATATTAGTCTCAAATTCAAGCTGCCGCGACATCAGCCAGATTGATTGGGGAATACTAGTTTTGGAGAATATCTCTGAACAGTTTAGGCGCTAGTGTTGACCACAGACGGAAAAACAGACACATTTTCCCGAGAATCGATCGGTTTCTGCAACCCACAAAACGGATTCTGGCTACACTGCGAGTTAGAGGAAGGAATTTACTGTTATATATTACAACAGGATTTATCCACTCTTTCGTTACCGGGGTCCTTCAAAGAGAGTTCTTCTGCCAAAAATTCGCTGTTTCCCGGCGAATATTACATAACTTTCTTCTCTTACGAAATACGTTTGTAAGGGCGAGAAAGTGAAAACTTCGTATGCGCTTTAGACAAAATGTGAATGTTTTCGGGCAGTTTAGATAATAAAGTTTGACCAAATACTTAACATTTCACTTTGATACATGTAAAACTATTACAAATACTT